ACTCAGATGTTTACACTCACACTCATATGCTGACAATCAACACACACTCACTCTCTCACACAGACACACACTCACTCACTAACAGTCTCAAATGCACACACACACACATTCACTCTCTCACACTTAAATGCGTACACACACACACACACACACACACACACACACACATATACTAATGCATGCACTCTTACACTACACACTCTCGTATAAACGCACACACTTACACACACACACACACACACACACACACACCGCTAATTAAACACCTGAGAGAGATGAGATGTGTTTAAAATAAGATGAGCGCGTGTGAAGCCGTCCGTGCGTCTGTCCAGCAAATCAGCATATCCCGCTGTGCAGCTGACCTGCAGATCAGACGTCAGTGTTTCACCTTCTCTACTCGTCCTGCAGGTTAGGACAGCTGACTGATTCATTTAATCTAAAAACAGCGTCTGTAGTCGCTCATCATGCTAATGAATCAATCTAACCCGGCGTAAATTAAAATAGAGCAATCAGGAAATCAGTCAGTCAGTCTCCATCCACACGCTGACGTCCTCAAACCCGCTCACTATTGAGGAGAGTCATGACCGTTCACCACGGAGTAGCTGCATGACTCTCTTCATCCTGTGAGGAACGCAGCGCTGCTTCACTCTTACACTAATAAAAGCATGGAGGATATGGAGGTGTTGATAAGACTGTTGTTAACCCTTTATGATCATGATAAGACGCATGTCATGAGTGTGACTGAGAGTGTATGCATGCTCATGACGTCTGCTGGTACAGCTGCAGTAGCGGATGCTCTTCAGACACATGTGCTGTGGTGCTGACTGCAGTCAATCATCTACATGTGTTTGTCTGGGGTTTAATGTTCTGGGTGAGGCAGAAGACTAAACGATGTTCATCCAGGTAAATACTGTCAGGCCGATAGTTCCCATAACTCTGATCAGCAACACACACTGTCTGTCAGCACATGGAGATATGTTCATCTGCAGCCGTTCACACAGATCTGCCGTTTGCGCCTGCACGAGCGCCGCATGTTCATGTGCACACAAGAGAGTTAAACACACGCTGATCAGCACCTGGTAAACTCCCGCATCAGTACTGCAGCGGGTCCTGCACAGAAGTGTTGTTCAGCCACTCAAAATATCCCGCACAGTCGGCGATCTCACATGAGAAATGCTCGCGCTTCTGGAGAAAGCGTCAAGTATAAAAGTCTTCACCGGTCTCGACTCATGTTAAGCACACACACAGAGCTCGCAACACAGATACCCGTGCACACACACACCTCGTCAGCTTGTGGAGTGAACTAAACGGGCTGTGTTTCCCGTGTGGACCTAAGTAATGCCCGTTGCAACAAACACAACCAGATATTATCCAGTATAAGCGGAAACACAAGCAATCTGGCTCAGTAAGAGTCTTTCAAAAGTGCATTACTGCAATGCAAAGTGTTGACTGCCCAGCTACTAACGGTAACGCTACATCATCCACAGCGTTACGCCACGCTAACATTAACAGTGGAATAAACACACACATTCAGTTACAATGAAAACAGGGTTAACCCTAACCCTAACCCTTTTCCATCTGCTGTATTGACTAATACAACAGCCTCATAATAAACTATGATGATTAAGAAATAATAAACGGCTCATTTTCACATTGCAGGATGCTCCGAAACTGTAATAAAAGCACAGTGAACTCAATCATGTGAATGTGTTAATGCAAAATCATCACCATTATCTGCTTATTTAACGGCATTTTGCTACTCAAAGAGGCTATTTTCAGCTGCAGGAGCACAATACACCAGGAGAAAAGCAGACATGTAGATTCTTCTCCAGCAGAACAGTGAAAAGCTGAGAGTTTTCCTTCAGAGCACTGGCCGTTCTTTGACAGGAAAACTGTGTTTATTTGTTTCACAATTATTGGTTTTGCTTTATTTTGCATAAAAAATGTAAGATTATAATAAAGTTGTTAATTCCGTGTATTTTTTCATAAAAACACTGCAAAAAGCACAGATAAGAGAACCGTTAAAGTACAGAACTGATAAGTGCTCTCGATACAAATAGTAATACCGCCCATCGCTAGCTGTGACGCTCTCCCTGTACTGTTCACCGCTGCTCTGAAACAGCATGCACGTACCGCTTAGTTATAAGTGTAACTCCTGCCCATCGGCCGAACACTCAGCATACAGTACAGGCTTTAGGATAAAGGTGTGAGAGTGTGAGACCAGCGACAATAATCCAGTTCATGGTTATCTCTCCAGCGCTTCTGCAGTGTGGATTGTGTCACAGAAGTTCTTGTAGACTGAAGCGGTGTCAGTCCAGTGTTCAGTTACAGAGTTTCTCATAGAGTTCAATTCAATCATGACTAGTTTTGCTTGCTACACAACTGAACACGTGCTAGATATAACACAACAGTATATATGATATACATACAGAGCATCCGCAGAGTATTGACAGCGCTTGACTTTTCCCACATTTGTTTCTGTTACAGCCGTATTCCACAATGGATTAAACTGACTGATTTCCTCAACATTCTACACACAATCCCATGATGATGATGTCATAACTGAGCTAATAACACTTAATAGCAGTCGTCATAAAACCCTGCATATTCCCCCATTCACATTCATGACGTGTGTCTAATAAAGGCGTTGTGTCAGTCTTATGAACACCTCTACAAGTAAAGTGTTGTTTGTTGGGAGGTGGGAAGGCCTGTTCCCATCTGCAGCTCCAGGACGCTCATCTACCACATTAGTGGAGAATATACTCGTGTCGGCCGCGGTGGTGTTCATCATTCCCTTGTGTTTAATGGTCCCAGTGTAAAGCGTGATGTGCAGCGCTGCACCGTCTGATCTCAGGGAACACAGCGGCTTTGCTCAACTCACTGTTAGAAATGCAGTCTGTTCGCCTGAACTCTGCCTCAATTACCCCCCACCTGTGTGTGTGTGTGTGTGTGTGTGTGTGTGTGTGTGTGAGAGGGCTAAATTATAGTCTGTGTGTTGCCAGGCTGCAAATAGAAAGGCAATAATTATCGCAAGCATCCCCATGTAAATCATGTGAAATCAGGGATTCAGATGAGCCGAGATATCCTGGAGAACAGCAGAGCGCGTGGAGGAGTGTGTGTGTGTGTGTGTGTGTGTGTGTGCGTGCGGTAATGTTAGTCTGCAGTTGTGTTTGTGCATGTGTGTGTACATATGTTTGTTAGTTTGTGTATTAGTGGCCGTGTGTTTGTGTGTGCATGCATGCGTTTGTGTGAACCTTTATATATGCGTGTTGCGTGTGTGTGTGTGTGTTTGTGTAATTGAGTGCATGTATGTGTGTGTGTGCATTTGTATGTTAATATTTGTGTGTTTGCATTGGTGCGTGTGTGTGCATGAGTGTGTATGTTTTTATTTGTGTGTTGTGTCTGTGCGAGTGTGTGTGTTTGTGTGTGTGTGTGTGTGTTGTGAGGTTGTCTCCTGCTGCTCAGTGTCTGCACGCTCCAGCATGTCTGAGTCCTCACAGATGCTCTGATCTGGCCTTGTGCTTTCTCTTCTTCTTCTTCTTGTGTGTGTTTTCTCTGCGGACTCCTCTTGTCCAGTTGGCCGACTCCAGTGATGAGGTAAACATCTGACACTGTCGTCAGAGATATATATATTAATATATAACCCCAGATCAGAGCTGAACGTGCGTCTGTCTCTAACCGCTGCTCTCTGCTTCATGCAGGGCTTCCTGGTGGACGTGGAGGTTTGTTGTGTTGTGCTGTAGACCGACAGTGAGAGTGTGTGTGTGTGTGTGTGTGTGTGTCACAGTCATCTCCGCTCATGTGTGGTTGTGTTACTGCTAGAGCTGCACAATATATCCACAAATTAGTAATCGTGATTATAATATAATGATATCCATATCATAGAAATGTGCAAGAAATTAAGTGAATGTATAGATGGGTTGTTTATCCAAATTCTGACCAATCAGATGTGACCAATCTTTAGCCCCGCCTCTCCAGCAGCTGCTGTGAGCTGGAGCTAGAGTAAACGCTACTGATCAACACTAATCTGAATGACACTGAGCTTTCAGTCGCTCGTGGGGTTTTATGAGTGCAGTATGTCAGTTTGACACCCAGTGGTTTAACTAGGTACTAATAATGTGAGTCTACAGGACATCTATCAGCACACTACTGACAGCAGCAGCAGAGTTCAGCTCAGATCTGCAGGATACAATAAAGCGTCTGAAACTGAACTTCAGAACTGAGACTCAGAGCAAAC